TAAGAAAATATGGAAGACAAGTATTCACCATTCATTCAGACGAGAAATGGTTTAGCCATGAGATGATCTTATACAAAAGGATCCATACCTGATAAGCACTATCAAAGAACGGCATCAATCCCTTTGACCGCATCAACTTCCTGATTTGCTCCCATTGTTGAATGGTTGGATCAACACCAGTTGGGTTATGAGCACATGCATGGAGAAGCACTATAGAGCCAGGTGGGGCAGCACCAAGGTCTTCCAATAAACCTGTGCACGAAAGAGAAAATGGATTGCCGTAGACCATTCAGAAAGATTATAAAAGATTATCAACAATATCAAAAATACTGAGATAAACTATGAAATCATAAACTCAGTAACATTTCATCAGCCACCGCAGTCTCACCTTGAAAGTTCAAGCCACGTGTTGATGGATCGTAGTAGCGGTAAGTTTTCACTGTCAAACCAGCAAGGGTGAAAATTTTCGGATGATTCCCCCATGTTGGCTGAGTAATATAAATGGTTTTCTGGAAAGAAAAAAAAAAAAGAAGACTCCAAGTTTACATGAGAAGTTCATTAGGATGAAGAAAATCAATCAGACAGGAAATATGGACTTTTGCATCTACCTGATGATAATGCTTAGCCAAAAACTCCCCACCAACTCTCAGGGAACCAGTACCAGACAAACACTCCACGGTTGTAACTCGATTCTCCCGAATCGCAGGACTAATTCATGCGTAAATACAACGATCATAAAGAATTGTCTAAGACCAAAAAACAAATGATGAAAACAATGTATAATCAGACACTATTTACCTGTCATCGCCTAGTATGAGCTTAGCGCTTAACTTGTTGAACTCAACCAATCCAACAATGGGAAGATACTCCTTGATTCTTGATCTACAGATTAAACACAACACAAGACTCAACATCATCAAGCACACACACAAAAGGGCAAAAACCAAACTCAACTAAAAAAAAAAGAAAGAGAGCTAAACCTGTCATTGATAAGCTGCTGCTCAGCTTTCCTCACAACATTAAGAACCAAAGGCTTTCCCTCCTACAACACAAAACACCATTACTGAAACCATCAATGAAGAGGAAAGAACAGAGACAGATTCAGTAAACTGTAAGAGGATCATTACCTCAGTTCGGTAAGCACCAACTCCCAAATTCAGCTTGATTGGGCTGGGGTCTTTGTTATATGCAACTGTCACCTATTAACACAAACATCAGAACCACACTGATACTATAACACAAACAAAAATCATCATAATATACATCAAATCAGAAGTATAAACATCAAATCTTCTCCAATTTCACGATCCCTAATTCTCTATTGCGAGATCGCGAATTCCCACCAATCAATAACCGATCCAACGGAATCCAGAATC